ATTTTCATAGATAAATTTCATAATTGGAGCCCTTTTACTATGAATTATTCGTAATATCTTCATTAAAGGTCCCATAGTCTTCAGAGCATAACTAAAATTGTGCCCAAAAGAATCTTCTTTCATAATAATCTTCTTCACTTGCTTTCCTTTTAATTTTTTGTATTTTATAACTTTTATTCCATTATTTAGAAGTAAATGGAACCCTTAAAAGTCGCTGGAACTTTTTAAATCCTTGCAAGGTCATATAAGTTATGACAAATCTTGTAACTGCGAGTCAGTTAAGTTCTTTATCTGTAAATTTTCTTATCAAGTTTAATACCCAGTGCCCAAGAATGATTGTAAGTAAATTTATTTACTATATTTGTTTTGAGCAAAGAAGACTTTTGTTATGACAACCATCCCAATTTCTCAAGCATTGAATCAAAGCAATGAGCAACACATGATGTCCAGGAAAGATTTTTTTTTTCTCTATTAATTTCCTCTCATTAGCTTTTTAGGTACTTGCATTATTTATAATGATTTGAAATTCCCAATTTCTTTAACAGACTCATCATACATTTTAAATAACAATTGCGTATTTTTTACAAAGGCTAATGTATAAATAGATTCTAAAAATATTTTCTTATAAATATTGTCAGCAAGAAAATTTATAATACTTCTTTGTTTAATATCTGATCAAATCATCTAATATTCTTATAACTCCCGTCTTAACCCACATCTTCATCAGTTTATCTACCATTCTTTTTTCTAAGCTCCTTCCCAGAAGAATAGAAACCAAGTGGAGCTCTTTCTTAGAAGACTGCAAGTGGACAAAGTCTACTACTTCAACTCCTGCTCAAGTTCAATTAAGACAACATGTTTGACTTCAAGCTTATTTTCTTACTAGTAGAGAGCCCGAAGAACCTACTGCTGATGTTGATGCTCCTAGAGATTGATGAGTGTTATGTTTTATCACATGTTATAGGAGTGTCATTCTAGTATATTTCTATTTCAGAGGGTGTGTGTTGTCTTAATTATGTTACTTTATTTTAGAGGTGATGTTATCATTGATTATGTTTTCCAATTTGGATGATGAGAAAAGTTGGTTGAATTATCATATATCAAACATTTGTTTTATTGTATCTATTTTTCTTCTTGTTAAATAAATTTTAAGCTTCTTCATGAATTTTTTTTATAATGAGAAATGATATGAGGTTTGGAGTAGATTATGTGAATTTCGAGGACTAAGTTTTTTATAAGGGATTTTATAATAATCAAAAATAAAAATAAAATAAATTTAATCCCTCTCGTAACACTTGTTTGGAACAAACTCGATGATCTCGGGAAATCATAATGAATGAGACTTATTCTCTTGTCTCGTTAGAACCAAGGGAAAAAGTCAAGCGAGAGATAGAACGAGCAAGCAAGAAGGAGGCGAGTGGCTCTGTCAACTGTCGCGAGCAACAAATGAAGAAAGGAGGTGAGCAACTCACGTCTTGTGGTCGTAACAATTCACTTAATCTACATTCCAACTCACAACTCTTTTCAATTCCCCGATGTCTTCTACCTTCAGGCAGCTTCACTGATTTGAATACCAAGTTAGGCCTTTACAACATCCATGACCCAGCTTGAGGGGGAGTGTAGAATTCTGAGTTTTCTATTTTAGTTTTATTCTTTTTTATTCCCTTCTTATTATGTCTTATTTCTTTCCTTCTTGAGTTATGTTTTCTTTGTGAAGTTGTAATTAATCATACCCTAATTGTTTCTTATTTTACAAGGAGGAGAGCTGCAATCTGATTTTGCGAAATAAGATAATACGATTTTCTCCACCTTTCTATAATTTCTCATAAATTTTATTTATTGAAACTATTCTAACTTCATTAAGTTTTGGATTTATATTTAAAATGTCGATTATTCTTAGTTGAATCAAATTTAAATTATCAAAGTTCATATAATTTTATGTTCTTTGAATTGTGCCTTGATACTTTCCTTCTACTTCTTTATTCAAAATATTAAATTATATTGGCTGATTTTAATCTCCCCACAAGCACTCTGACTAAAAATATTTTCTTGGGGTACAAATCAAATTTAGGGTTTATATGGTGGAATTAAAAATCTAAATAAAACTTATCTCTGAACTTAACGGAAAGAAAATAAGAAAATCTCTAGCCTTCTCTCATGCCCACACATAGCTCCATGTTGTGCCTTCAAACCTTACTCTACTTTGTGAACTTGCTTGTCGACTTGAACCTGCTCACCTTCGATCTCCTCGCTTGCCTCAACTTGCTTTCTCTCTCACTCGCTCTCTCTCTCTCACACACACACACACACACACACAAACACACTCACGATTTTGATCTCTGAATTTGTTAGGGTAGTAATTGAGCTGAGTCAAGTCGAGTATGTCAGTGATTGGACTTAGCTTGGTCAAATTACAAGTTATTCATGTTCGACTGAACTTGATTCGAGCTTTCACATTTATGCTCATATTAGGCTTGTTTAAATTTCTTGATAGTCGTACTTGGTTTTTTATTTGGATTCTTTATATTAAAGATGGCTCAGCTTTGCTTGTGAAGTGTATTTTTAAAAACATTGGATAAAATATAACAATTTGAGAAAATTGCAAAATTTAAGACACTATCAAATAAAATCTATAACCCTAGCTTAAAGTAACAATTCAATCATCCTTAATGCTTATTTGATGAGATTGACTAATATAAGATATTCTCAGCTCATAAAAAATGAATGTCATATCATCCATATCCCATGATTATTCTCAGTGACTTGATGCCAATAACCATGTGGCCCGTGTTCTTTAGTTGAGCAATTTTATGTTCAAATGACACCAACAAATGGAATGGTTATAATTGGGAACTTTTAACCAATTGATTCATTATATAAGGACTCCATCAAATTATGATTATGAAACAAATTGCAAGTTTTCTAGTAGCCTAAATCTCCTTGGTGGTAAATCATAAAATACACTTGATAGGGCATGAATTTCCTTATTAATTATGTTCGGCGTAAAATTATCCCCCTACATAAGGGCCCCTTGGAAGATGCAACCTATGATTACCAACAATGGTTTTTTGCACGAATTGGATTGACTACCTTCAATTAAGCAGGCTAGACTCCACGATCATCTAGGATGACGAAATGATGGGATCATGATCGAGTTTATAATCATTACTCTACCATCTGCTCTAAATTAAAGGCGATAAATTTCTTCAAACTAAAATCAAATTTGTAAAACTTATACGCTAGTTCCTTATGACTAGCCTTTTAATTGGAAGTTGTTTTGTTATTATGATGGGTAATTAAGGGTCTGTTTGGCGCAGCTGCAGCTTCTCAGCTTTTCAGCTACAGCTGCGCTGCCCTAGAAAGTTGCTGCGTGAATTCAGCTGCGGGGAAGCTGACTGTCTGTTTGGTGTAGCTGTGTGAAAACAGCTGTGGGGCAGCTGTTTCCAGAGAAATGATCAAGCTGCCCCTGTTTTGTAAAACTATTTAAAAAATTTATGTATATATGTAAAAAAATTAAATATGTAATTGTGAATCGTATTTGTAATAAATATATTTTATGAATATATTTTATGGTATATTTTATGGAATATGGTAGTCAAACAATAAAGACATCTCGAGTTTGCTATATAAATACTAAGGTCAAATTTCAGTTTCAACTACAGCATAATTATGAAAATTAATTTGTCAACACTAGCAATACCCTTTCAGATATAAAGTTGAATTTGCTAGCCTATGAAACTCATCCTCAGAGATGAGCATTTTGTCAAGACAGCACACTTTAAGCAAAAAAGGGAAAACAACCACTAAACACACATATTTCATGGGGAGAAACAAAGTGAAAGAAATCTGAAAATTGCAGATAAAAGCCAAAACCAGTTTCATGCAAAAAAGCTTAGAGCATGTGAACCCCAGATTTTTAAGGAAAAAAATCAACTTTTTAATGTCTTACCCGTAATCGATGGCAGTCATTCCTGGATCTTCGTCCATCAGGGAAGGATGCGAACAAAAGAAAGTTGCCCTACTTGAAAGGCGGGGAACTCAAATAACAAGAGCTCAGCTCTTCTGATGGAAGAGAAAGTCGTGGGAGAAGGATGAAATGGAGATGAGAAGAGCATAGAAGGGAGAGACCTCCTTGCTTCGCGAAATATGGGCGGACGGCGACACCATGGGAGTTCTGGGATAGCAGAGGATCGATCGCCAGGAGCACGGGGCGACAAGGTAAAAGCCGCTCGATAAAGCGGGGCAGTGGGATTTATCCCGCGGCCCGCTTTCTCCCATGCTTCGCGGTACGTTGTCGCGAAGTCGTCTTCCAAACAGTGCCGCGGTAGAAATTTCGCGGCAGAAGGCCGCGCCGCACCCAAAAAATCGGAACCAAACAGGCCCTAAGATTAGAAGCGGAAATTTGTAACCGGTTCATAAAATCTTAACAAAATGAAAATGACAGGTAATGCGTTTTCTCAAAACTAATTTGTATTTTGCAGATATGACCTAGAACCACAAACTCTGTCAAAGGAGACGGTATGAATTTTTGGACCCCACGCTTTTTCTCTTATGATGGACGCTCTTAAAGCCTTCTGAACTGCTGAATTTTGCAACTTGTTTTCTTTAGTATTTTATCATGGTGGCATTTACATAAATACCACCCAATTCTTATGTATTTACATATCTAACACCTGAACTTTACATTTAAAATTTATACCACTCAAATCTTTTATATCACAAAAAAAATACCACAATTTTAACTTTTAAAAAGTTAAATACACCTATTTTTGTATAGTAAAGTGAGATGTATGTAAAATTGAAGTTTAGGTGCTAAATGTGTAAATACATGGTAATTGAATGGTATGCATGTAAACATTCCTTTATCATTAGTATTTTTTTTTCAAACATTGGTTTTGGCATGCACATGATTTACTTCTCCTTTATGTGGTTATGTTTGTTCATTAAGTATTTGCTGGGCCTATTCATAGCTCATTCTGAGCCGACATTATCGAATGCAGATGGATTTCCTGCAAATGGAACTCCAGATGCTGCTACAATTCCTATCCACATTGTTACGCATGCTTCTCAACTTCCTTTGGAATTTCTGAATGCTTCAGCCGACAGCCAGCTGGTTGTTGGCTTTGATTGTGAAGGCATTGATCTTTGCCGTTATGGAGGTCTTTGCCTAATGCAGGTAAGACATTCTTCTTTTCTTAACCTTAATACGTGAAATATATCACTTACTTTAACAATGAACTGAAAACAGTTGCAAGCATATTTAAATTTAACTTAAATATGCCACATTTATCTAAGCGGATTTTGATGCCATGTACAGTGCATTACAAAGCAATTGGTACTATAGGGATCAAATGGTTGTTGATATTGAGTTGTCCATAAACTACTTATGTTTTTCTTGAAATTTCCATTTGGCTATTTAAAGATTATTTTTTGAGCGGTCTTATGATAACTATTTGGGCCTAGCTTTGTGAAACCTCGTTATCTATTCATTTTTTACTTCTTGATGAGTGCTGCGTAGGATTTTATACCTTTTGTGAGCAAACTTTGTTGTAAAACTTCTATTCATATTACCTTCAATTAATTCTTACTGAGTGCTTTCTGAGGTTTTAAACTTATTGCGAGCAAAGTTTTCAGTCAACTTCTATCCTTGTGAATTTTGGTCTACCCCTTATATTTTCTTTCACTTTGATTTTATATCATTTAGTCACTCATTCTATTTATCCATCCTACAGGTGCAATTCTTTTGCTACTTTTTAGTGTCCAAAGCTGCTAAATTTGTTTTTCCCTGCATTATCTTCAATAGATGACATTATTATTGTTTCTTTATTATAAGCATTCTTTAATGTATTTCTCCTAATTTGTGTTTTAAAAATTATATTTTTTTGCAATTAAAGGATAAAATGTCTTTGTTGGACTGTGATTTTGATTCCAGGATGTGATGATGCAAGTTTGTTTGATTATATTGCTAGTGGAAATTTGAAATCACTCTTGTATTGCGATTATTCCAAATTTCTTGCATAAATATTTGTTATGGGGCTCAAATCTTATTGATTCTTGCCTTTAGGACATGGAGGATCGAAATTAAATATGGGATGTATGATTTTATTCTATAGTCGCAACTCGCATGAGAGTGTGCATGAATGTTGAGTTTGAGTTTTGATCTTTAAGGACTTACTTTTTCAAAGTAATTGTAAGCCCTTAAAAATATTTGTTTACTTCTCAAAGAGGAAAAAAATTAAGTTTATCATACTTTTAAGTCGGCACATTTATACCCACGTAGTGGGATTAAGGCTTTGTTGTTGTTGTTGTTGTATGCTTTTAAGTCTGCATAGCATTTTTTTATTTTATGTTTAAACATTTAACATTTATCAGAGTATATGTGAATTCCTAATTTAAGAAATTTGTTGTGCTTTTTAGAGGACGTGTACACATTTCAATGTGATTGCTTGACTTTTAAAGTATTATAATTGAGTTAAAGTTACGTCATGATGCGTGTAAAAGACTAATTATTTTTTTGATTTGACTTTTTGTGAGAATATTGTCATTAGAATGTACATAACATTTTATTTTGTCATTAGGTAAGTACTTAGTTATGGGTCTGTTTGTGATTATAATTGGATTAGTTATGGATTTGTATGTGATCCGATTAGGTTTCACTTGGAATATTTTTACGATTATAAATAAAGAGGCTTGCATGGTTCATTTTCATATCCAAGTTTAGTTCTCAGATTGTGTTCTTAAGAGTTTTGGGTGTTTAAGAAAGTTTCTGAGGTGGCAAGTAATCTGTCGATTTTTTTTTTTTTTTTTTTGGCTTGTGAACAAGCTTTTAAACCTCTCGTAATTTTATTTTCTGTTCATTCAAAATAAACAGGAGCTTTATTTTTGTTCTGAATATGCATTTATATTTTCATTTTGGCACATCAGATAGTTCACAATGTTCTTTTTTTCTTTTCCTTTTAAGTCTCGCCAGTGAAGATATCTTGACATGGGAGTATTTGAGGGTGTGTTAGGTTTGCCCATCACGCTATGAAAGATGTGTATTAAAGTCCTATCTATAGTTCACTCCATATGCAGCATTAGATTGCTGATGAACAGACTCAATATAGCAACCATTGGTAACTCATAAATATAAAGTATCATACTTCAGGATTACGTGAAGTGGAGCTAATCTATATTATGTTTTTTTGTATCAATACAATTTTAAATTTTTAACAAGTTTATCAGAAAATATTTTTCATAATTATCTTATGTTAATTTAAAGTTTTACTTAATAAATATATTCACTATTTATTATGATTGACATTATTTAGAAGATGATTACCCCGGTAGAAGAGCTGGGCTCAATTTTTCGGAACCCACAATGTTGTATGTTAGACTATATTTAGTAATATATAAATTAATTGGATTCTGTCATAATTGTATTGCATTGGCAGTGATTCATGATCGAATCTGGCAAGTATATAGTTAGGTCAGATTGAATATAATTCAACATTTATTGCCGATTGCCCTATGGGTCTGAATGTTTGACTTAGTTTACTCATACTTGCCATTAATAAGGTCTGGTTCTTTTGGAGACATGAATCCTTTGGTGATAGATCTTTGAGTTCTATTTGTCGAATACATTATGATTGATTAACCCTTGCACTTTTTTATTTATTTATTTTTTACATTGGTAATATACCTTTAAGTTTAATCTTGATCCTGTTGTGGGCTTGACATGTTTTGTCAACTTGCTATCAGAAATAGAATAATATCTGTTCTGCTAGGTTTCTTCAAGCCAACAGAGGTTGTACCGAAGCCTTTTTGGATAATGGTAGTTCCCTTTCTCATTTCTAAATTTGTTTTCTCCCTTTTTCTCAACTCTCTGTTATCATCAATAGAATCATATATATTAATATAATATAAATAGTGTATGCATCAATAGAATCATATATATTAATATAAATAGTGTATGTGTGTGTGTGTGTGTGTGTTAAGGATATATATTGGATTTGTTAACCTGTGTGAATTAAAGTTGAATATTCAATTGTTATTATATAATTTAGATAGGTAGCTTATAAGGGCATTTTGGTTTACTCTTTATTTGCTGTCTAGATTGCATTTACAGATGCCATATACTTGGTTGATACCATTGAAGGTGGAGATGCACTTGTTCGAGCTTGTAAATCTGCACTTGAGTCTAGTTACATTACAAAAGTCATCCATGACTGCAAAAGAGATAGCGAGGTTTTAATTGATTCCTTTTCTTCTGTCTCCATTTTTTTTTTTTTTGTGTTGTCTTTTTGTTGAATGCTCGATATAATTTTACTCACCTCTTCTAATTCTTTTATTTAGGCCCTATATTTTCAATATGGTATCAAATTGCACAATGTGGTAGATACCCAGGTAATAATGGCATTTTTTCTTTCATTTATTGATATTGATTTAGCCTTTGTAATTTATAATGGGAATATGATAATACATAAGCATTATACTTCTCATGATTATTGAAAATAAAATGTTCTTTGCCTAGTTTTTTAAAGGGTGAGGAATGGAGATTTAAATCTCTTTGGATTCTTCATTATGTTTGTGAAATGCATACCTATTTTAATTTATTCCAATGGGTTTCATCATGCCGGTTTTCTCAACTTTTAATTCCTCACACCCCACTAAAATCCAATAAACCATGACAGGTCATGCTCGTCGTATTAACTTGCATCCTCTGCTCATCTTCATTATGATGAATTTGAGAAAAATCAGTTTTAATACCAGCACCAAACCATATGCACATGCCATCTGCATTGTCTCTTTTCTGTTCTATTTTTCTTTTTTAACCCCACACTCTCTGTATATAGAATTTTGCTTTTTTGCTCATTGTTTTTTTCTCCCATTTTCTTGAAATTCTATTTCCTCTTTAATCCTTCTTCCCTTGACACAGGGCTCAATGTTGATTTAAAGGTTTTTCATCTTTATGGATTTGGGGAAGATGCTTGTTGAGAGATAGTTTGAATGTGTTTCTTCTTCCCTCTTCTTAAGTTCTCATTCTCTCCTATTTACTATATTTTGTTTCTGTAATAATTTGATTTAATCTTCGTTCACCTAATCCGTTCTTTCCATTTTTTATTTAATCTTCTTTCACCTAATATTTCTTTCCATTTTCTTTCCATCTTCTTATGCATTCCCATCTTCTTCCCTTCCTATCTTTGTTATTGCATCTATACTTTGGCTTATTTTGGTTCCAACTTTCTAATTGCGTTGTTGTAGGAGAAGAATCATTCGACAATTTATAGTTTGTTTGGTTGGAGAAGTTGTATAGATTTTTCCCTGCTTTTTCTACCAGTTTGGACTGCATTAGAAAAACTGTGGCTCACGAACAACTTTTACTATATTTTCAACGAGAAAATAGAAAACATGAGTCAAAACAAACCAAACAAAGCTCATGCCTCTTTTTGTTTGGTTTTCTTTCTTTGGCACTTTTCTTCAAATGTTAGTGTTAGCCTTCTTCCGCCTTATCCGATTCTTATGGTAGAACTTTACCCTCATCTGGTTCTTTTGGGACAACTCCACCTTCCGCTAGCCTACACATGCATGCTAGTTTTGCACTTTTGCTATCTTATTTTTCTTTTATTTATGTAGCCCTTCACTCTCTCATTCGGACAGATCAAAAACCCTGATTGATAAATGAACTTCACGTACCAGTGAAGTGATCAGCGGGTGCTGGGTTGTGCTGTGCTAGGTATTGGCCAACCACTTCATTTGTGCTGGTTATTTGTAACTGACCAGCAGGTAAAATTTTAACGTTCAATTTGATATGAACCTTAATCTGGCCCTCTAATTACACTTAATCGCTTTTATGTGAATTCTTTTGGGAAAGTACGGCATTGCCTAGTTTCATAACAGTGATAACCACTTAATGCTGAGTGGTGATTGCCTGCTTTTGATGTTTTACTTCTCCGATAAGTTTTATAGGGTGGATGCATTATTCTTTTTTTAACTGCAAAGAAATAGCTTGATACTGGAATTAACCCAAGCGACAATAAACTATCAAATACTGTTACTAGAAAAGCCAATAGACAGTGACAATCAACACATTAAAAGGGGGAATAACAGCACGACACACGAAAATTTGAAAATTCGACAAATGAAAACACCAACTCAAACTATGGTGGATCTTGGGGTTTTGGTGGTGATCGGTGAGGGTTTGGACCTTTGGAGAGGTAGTAAAGGGCGGTTCAAAGGCCAGATGGTGGGGTGGCAGCAAGGGGGTGGTGCGAAACTGCCAAAACTGTGAGAAGTCAGGCTGTCCTTGGCGGTGGCGGCAAGGATGATGGGCTGGACAGTGGCCAAACAGCAGGGGAAGTGCTATTGTGGACTGCAGCAGCAATGGAGGAGGGCGGCTACAGCGGAGGGGGGTGTGGTGGACTGCAGGGCAGCGAAAGGATGGCTGTCCGGGACAGTGGCAATGAGGAAAAGTGAGAAACTGCAAGAAAAATAGCGGTATATGGCTGTCTGTGCTGTTTTAGCAGGGAAGAGGTAGTTGGGAGCGATGTGGGGAGGATGCTAAAGGGGAATAGAGAAGATATTCGCCACCTCGTGAGCGAGATACAACCTGAGCACCACCTGAACTCTTGGTACAACCTTATAAGGGAAAAAAGACAATGGTGGCAGTCCCAATACGAAACATACAAAAGAATTAAACCTAAAACATTATAATTACAAATATATAATAATAGGATAACTAAGAGTTGTCAAGTAGGACTGACCGACTCCACAACACTGAAAAAATATAGACCGGGTTGGTCCAGGTGAGCATGCAAATGCCCATTTGGTCGCAGGAAATCCTGTGTCCCTCCCATGCGTGGTAGACCCCCATGTCAGTCTACCGGGGTTGTGGAAGCTTCAACCTCATTCATCGAAGCTTCTGTCTGCACTTTGAAAGTGACAAAACTGCTTCAACCTTTTGAGATTTAAGTGTCATTGACTGTATCGATATGAGCACCTAATCCCACTATTGGTTGCACTGTCTCCCAAAACTTTCGAAAAGATTTCCTCATTTTTGAGTAGTCATCCATTTCGGTCCAACTATCTGAAGGTACACTGCTCAACTGAACTGGGGCTTCGTATCAAGTATACTTTACAAGGTCTTCCAAAGGCAACCTAAGGTTGGCTCGTCCCTATTTGATGCGAGAATTGACTGAACTCCCTTTAACGACGACCGCCATGATAATAAGGTACCGACCATGATGTACTGAAATACTTTCTATAGTAATTTCTCCATGTCTGGAATCGGTGCCTCTATCCCGTTATCATCTATCATCACTAAAATTGGTCATGTTGGCGCTTCTCCGCTAACATGAGCACCTGTAACATTGGACTCTGTAGAAGATAAGAGAAAGATGTGTTTTCCATCCTTCGTGAATGAGTAGATGTTCATGTACCCGTTATTCTGAGTCCTGCAGTCAAAAGACCACAATCTCCCCAAAAGGATGTGGTCGACATCCATAGGCACCACATTACACCCCACCTGATCATGTAGTTTGTTCCCAACCGAAAACTCTTCTATCAATATTAAATTTGTTCTTTTTCTTCAACCACGTTAGAGAATACGGCTAGGAATTTCTCAGAGTTGAGCGGCTCAACTTGTCCACCATATGTGTCAATGTCATATTCTTGTTGCTACCTCAATCTATGATGAAACTGCATATGTTTGCCTTCACGGTGCAACATGTGTAGAATATGCTCTGACGAAGCCACTGTTGCTCCCTTCTAGCCTCACTCTAAAAGACCAGTCGAACCACAAGCATCTCGCTCTCTTTTGATGGAGGTTGACACTGCACACCCTTTTCTTCAATTGCCTCTTTGCTCACTTGCTCCACTGCACCCTGCTCAATGAAGGACACAACCTGGCTCGCCAGGGAACTGGAAGCGATGTGTCCAAATTGTCTAGCTGGGATTGTATTGGGGGTGCTACTCTTCTCAGGCTTCGTCTCACTCAGGAGACAGCTCTACCATTCGCCTGACTAGATTTTTCAACTAACTTGGGTGTGCTCCCATCTAAGTCTTTAACTATGGGTGGCTATTTGAATGGTGATGGATATCTACTCTACTTTTCTGTCTCTCTTCCTTTAGTGTCATGGTATGAACGTCACCCAAAGACCAATAAGGTTGTAGTTGAGCCACATTGTCAATGGTAGGCTTCATGCCTCCCAAGGACCCAGCTATCGTGTGCTTTGCTAGCTCTATCATATTACTTTTTTGTTTAAGCCGCATAAACTCCGTTGTATACTTCTCCGTTGATAAGTCCCTCTGCTTCATCTGAATCATGTCCTTATATTCAAAAAACTCGTTCGACAGTCTGTAACCATTCTATGAAATCATCCAAACTCATCCTCCACTCGAAATCCAGTATGTCCACTTTCACCCTTGAGTGTCTGTATCCTTCAACAAGCACTTCATCTTGGTATCGTCTAACAAGTACTTCATCTCGGTATGCTCTAACAGAAACTTCATCGCTTAGCCTCCTCTGATATCGTATCTCAAAGCATTGTGACATGTCTTCTTCTCCACTGGAATCATCCATAAGGAAGTGATCATATGTTATTCTCTCTTTGTTGAATCTTGCTACCACACTCGATAGTGACATCTCCCTAGGTCCTTCTCAATATTAGTAAGTCGTCGTAGCACTCAGTCGAGTTCCCACTACATCTCTTCCATGGTAAACTCCTGATCGGTGTTCGACAATTGCCTCCTAGGTGGCATAATCAGGGTTTAGGTCCGGACGAGTGAAAAAGAGTGTATGGATGTAATGTAGGGTGGAAAGAAAATTTTTGGGTGGCCTGTTTGGAAAAAAATCATTAAAGGGGAAGGGTGTTGGGTGGAGATAGGATTGGGTATTGGTGGATGTTTGAAACCCTAGTATAGGAGTAGGATTAGGCTAGCTTTGATAGCAAATGATACTGTAGTTAACCCAAACGACAATAAACAAACAAATATTATTATTAGAAAAAGCCAATAGACAGTTATAACCAACACACTGAAAGGCAGAATGACAATAGAACGACACACAAAAATATGAAAGTGCGACAAATGATAACACTAACTCAAACTATGGTGGATCTTGAGGTGGTGGTGGTGATTGACGAGGGTTTGGTCCTCCGGAAAGGTAGCAAAGGGCAGTTGGAATTGTTGACCTCATTTTTGGCGATGTTTAGTTTTCTTCTTAGGATTTATGGTCTAGCCTTAGGATTCTTCTTTTGACTATCTTAGAGCCTTAATAATGGAATTCGCCTCATTTTTGAAATTCAAACTACTTTTTTACTCCTTTTGGAGTTCCGCATGTGTGATTCTTGACCTCAAACACTTAGGAGGTTGAAACTAACATGAGGGAACTCGAAAAGAGTCTCCATAGGATCATTATGTCCTAGGGTTTCCTTATCCACAATTTGCATTTTCACGCGCATAAATTTTGCAATTCGGACAGTCGACACGTTAAATTATCATAATACACATCGTTGAATATTGGAAATTGTTTTAGATGTGGTATTGAGAGTCAATCCACCCTTCACTTCTTTGCTCTTTCAGATGAATTGGTCTCTCCTCTCTCTCACCTCATTTTTCTTCTTTTCTTTCTATGTTTCTTAGTTTGATTTTGGTGCTTATGTCTAAAACATAAGCGCACATATATAATCGTGGCTATATATGAACCATCAAGCAAGGCTATAAGTTGGACGGTTTCGGGATTTAAGAGTTGTGATGATAAAGGCATCCGGTGATAGAGTAGAATAATATTGCATCCTACGACGTCGGGATCCGACCTAGGGACCTGATGAGAATGTAGAATGACAATATTATTCGTCAACACTAGACTAGCGATATCCCTTGCCTTTTTAGGCTGCTGGTCGTCCTAGCCCGACAGTGTAATTGACTCGTGGACAATCAAATTTATAAAATATGACAGAACAGATACATTACTAACAAAAAAAAAAAATTTATTACTAAATGGAAATCTACCTTTTTGCTTATACACATGAAGCTCATACGCATGACAAAATACAAACTTTGAACCACATAAATCTGATTGTCCACTTGTCAATTACCTGTATTGGGCTAATAATTGCTCTCCTAGGATTGTCTTATTGAAAATTTCTAATTAAATACCAGGCTTTGTACACTAAGATGACCGATGATCGCCTACGGAGTCTTTCAAGAGCAATAAATCTAAGCCTACCCCGACCTACAGGCTTTGTAAATCTTATTGGAAATTTCTAATTAAATGTCGGGTTTTATACACTAAGATGACTGATGATTGCCTACGGAGTCTTTCAGGAGCAATAAATCTAAGTCTACCCCGACCTGAATGCTTATGGTTTTCCTTGATTTTTCGTGTGTTTTCCACAGTTTTCTTTGAGTTTTTGTGGATCACTTGTTATTTTCTTCAGTTTTCCGTGAGTTTCCTATGATTTTTTTTTATTTTTCGTGGTTCACTTGTGGTTTTCCTCGAGTTTTTTCGTATGATGTTTTTTCATTTATTTTTTATATATAAATGCATGTTTACCCCATCTGTTAAATTCTCCATTATACTCGTTTATTTTTACCAGCAACGCTAACCCCATTTGCAGGAGCAGCAGACACGCCAGGTACCCTGTTAATTTTATATTTACAATATTTTGTCATCTCTACTGTACATTCTACTGTTCTTCTTTATTGTATATTTAACTACACTTTTTCTTTTTATTGCACTCTACATGTTTTACTTGTGCATACTTTAGCTTACATGCAGGAGGCCTTTAAGATAGAGAACAAAGTCGGTTTACCTATGATGCATCACTATAAAACCTAAACACATACCATTTAATTAATTGGATTAATAGTGATTGAAATTAAAAAAAACAACATAGAACATAAAACACTAAACCTGAAACTGCTATGACGTGAAGCTTGGAGCTAAGATCGTAGACATCACGACAAGGATGTACAGAAGAACAACTTTAAGAGAGCAAACAGATATACAACAATAAATCTTTCCTTAGAATTAAACAACAAACCATATAATTTTGAGTTTGTCTGCTTAGCGCGACATAAATCTTCACCCTATCTTTTATACCTTTGCACTGTCATATTGTGCAATCTAAGCCCTAATTTGATTTAAGCTCCGAGGTCGTCTGATACGACGTAAATCCTCCTATCTTTCAAGTCATTCCTATGACCGTGTCATACAAATATAAACCCTAAATAATAAAACTGATAGGATGAAACATCAAATAACATCTTCTCAAAATTGAAGTCAAACAATAAAATAGTTTGGGAAGTAACCGAGGTTCTCCTCAGAATCCGTGAAATTCGTTACTTCGCTTTCCTTTGATTCCATAAATAAATGTTCTCGTTTTGTCATTTTCTCACTTGACTTTTATTTATCTAATCTTGGAAACCCTAAACTTTGAATACTTTAAAATAGGTACATTTGATCATCATCGAGAGTTGTCTTAAGTGACTTCAGTAATTTTAGAGGTTATTAACTATAGGGGTTTGCCTCTATGGAGAACTTTAAGAATCCAGGTAATATAAACTCTATCTAATTTTTAATATTAGGTAAATAAACTTGTTGGTCAAAATAAAAGGTTCGCAGATCAAAACGGATATCATGAATTTAGTAGTTCATTTAATCGAGTATCACCTTCAAGTAATGTGTCTATTTCTCGGGATGGGTGTGTTACTTGCAGTATTGTGCTCGTTTACTTAAACTATTAAATGAATGAGATCTATCCAGTCTCATTTTTAAAAAAAAATTAAAACCACATTTTTTTATTTTTATTTATTTTTCAAAGAGAATTTTAACGGTCGACGGGAATGTCGGATAGTGAGACCGCAACAAGGGGGTGATGGTAGCGGCAAAGGGAAGGTGAGAAAATGTTGGAACAGCGATAAGGCGGGCTGTCCTGGGCCGTAGCAGCAAGGAAGAGTGGCTGGACAGAGGCCAAACTGCAGAGGAAGTGCTATTCTGGACTGCAGCAGCACTGGAGGAGGGTGGTGACAGCAAAGGGGAATGTGGTGGACTGCCGGATAGCGAAAGGATGGCTGTCCGTGATGGCAGCAGCAAGAAAAAGTGGGAAACTGCAGGAAAAACAGCAGTATGTGGTTGTTTGGACTGCTGCAGCAAGGAAGGTGTGGGCGGGAGAGATGTGGGGAGGATGCGAGAAGGGAATAGGGAAGATAATCACCACCTTGGAACGAGATTCAGCAAGTGCATCGCCTGAACTCTTGGATACAACCTTCGAAGGAAAAAAGTGACGTTGGCAGCTATCCCAATACAAAACACAAAAAAAAAACTAACCACAGAACATCAGAAACATAAATATTTAATAATAAGATAGCTAAGAGTGGCCCACGAGGATCGGTCGAGTTCACAACACAAAAAACCTTGACTGGTTCGATCTAGGTGAGCAGGCGGACACCCGCTTGGTCGCAGGAAACCTTGCGTCCTGCCCAGACGCGGAAGACACCCGTGTCACGGCCTGTTAAAATTAGCACTTCAGGATGGAGAGTACTTGGTCGGTAGCAGCGATAAGGCGAGCTGTACTGGGCGGTAGCAGCAAGGAAGAGTGGCTGGACAGAGGCCAAACTGCAGAGGAAGTGCTATTCTGGACTGCAGCAGCACTGGAGGAGGGCGGTGACAGCAAAGGGGAATGCGGTGGACTGCCGGATAGTGAAAGGATGGCCATGATGGCGGCAGCAAGAAAAAGTGGGAAACTGCAGGAAATACAGCAGTATGTGGCTGTTTGGGCGGCTGCAGTAGGGAAGGGGCGGGCGGGAGAGATGTGGGGAGGATGCGAAAAGGGAATAGGGAACATAATTACCACCTCGAAACGAGATAAAGCAGGTGCGAACATCGGAACATAAATATATAATAATAAGCTAGCTAAGAGTGGCCCACGAGGATCGGCCGAGTTTACAACACAAAAAACCTTGATTGGTTCGATCTAGGTGAGCAAGCGGACACCCGCTTGGTCGCAGGAATCCTTGCGTCCTGCCCAGGCGCGGGAGACACCCGTGTCACGGCCTGTTAAAATTAGCACTTCAGGATGGAGAGTACTTGGTCCTGTTGTAAAGTTACTTTATGAATTTTTCAGTTGCTGTGTTGAGCTTCATGAAGTGGTTTGTTAATGCATTATTTTGCATTTATGAGCTATTGCACGCACTGTAATTATTGTCAATTGATGCAATTTTTTGTGCTGATCCCATGATTTCTATATAAAAATATTTCCTTAAAAAGCTTGGTTTGTTTATCCTAAAAAATAAGATTTTTTTTTTTGAATGAGGATGTTAATCTGAGATAATGACTCATGCAGATTGCCTATTCTTTGATTGAGGAACAAGAAGGAAATAAGGCAGCAATGGATGATTATATATCTTTTGTCAACTTACTCGCCGATCCTCGCTATTGTGGTAATGTATATCATACAATATATTCCACATTCATGCTTGCACGAATACTCGTGAACATAAAAAAGCTACTTAAATTTTAGTTATTCAATTTGTGATGAACGGTGTAAGATGTGTAGTTGAATGAACTCTCTCATTCAAAAAAAGGATGGGGATCTATCTCTCTCTCTCACTACACACACACACACTTTCTCTTCTCCTATTTAATTTTGATGCTTAGCGATTTGAATGTAAACTCAAAATCATCCATTTTATTTGACATCCTTTAAACTAGTGGGATGCAATATTTCAAGAATGTTTGATAATCAATTGGTTGCATTAGATTTACTTCAATGGATGGATTTGATAACATGAGAAGATAATCACATATTTTCATGTGTAAATTGTTGAGTTTTGTTTGTGACAGGAAATTATGTGTGTGCTGCCAATGATTTTTAGATAAGAATTGAAAGTTTTTTATTATCAATTTTGTCACGAGTGGGTCGGGGGCTTCATTTTTTTCTTAAGGCGGAAATATATGGTCAGATTGTGAAATTATTTAAATTTCAACTACTATCATTGACAGTTAATCATTCAAATAATCGAAAAAGCCACTAATTAATGTAATTTAAATTAATATAAAATAAAATAATTAAAAATAAATTTATCTTTCCTATGTTAATCACATCTTCTATACATATTTATTCTTCCATCACTTATTTTTAATCAAAAGTTTCAAATCTGAAAATGTTATTTATCATAATAAGTCATCAACAACTCAAAGATTACTCCTAGTCTAAAATTACACTAACATAACAAAATAAAGAAATAATATGCATGTCGATCAAAATTGAGTAGGGTAGTGTAAGATTATAATTATATGTTCATTCAACTATGGTCATGTAAAAGATTTAGTTCATTCAACAGTATATCAATGACAATATCACTTAAGATATATGCCCTCTAACATTTTTCTACCGATTAGATTTTGATCACAAGCCTTCTCATCCTAAACAGGAAATAGTCAAGAACAAAAATTCTAGGAATTTTTTTATTTGATTAGTTATCAACTGTATAATGGAAAAAAAAGAATTGTGCACATTTAAATACCAAAACACCTTGATTCCGGAGGAGAAAGAACAAACCACAAAAATCAACTTTTATTAATAGCAAAAGAGGGTTACAACATGCATAAACTGAAAATAACATCACCAAAACACAAATGACACGAACGGACACCTCGAGAGTGTATTCCAAGGGCGATGGAGGTTGGTGGGAACTGGGAAGGTGGGGTAGCAGCTGGGAGCAGCGGGACAGCAATTGGGATGGCTGGCTGGCTGTTAGGAAAAGTGGAGGTGAAAGAGTTGGACGGCAAGTTATTGCAGCAGAATCGGGTCAACAGAGCAGGGGGATGTGGTTGGGGATAGCTGACAACTAAGGGAAGCGGAGGAGAGGAAGTAGGGAAGATAAAAGGGGAGATACAATCACCACATCGGAGCACGATATAGTCGAAGCACCGCCACCTCCTAGAGTAGGGAAAAGGATTCCACACAGAAAATCTGAAATCAACTCTTAGCAAAAATTCCACCCTAAATCCATAAAATAGTAATTCAAAGACTCTCACAAGGAAAAAACTGAGAAGGAAAGCTCCCATAAGGAAATCACTGAAAAGAAAGTAGGGGAAAGGAACCGGCGGAAATGTCGTCCTTCCCAATTTGTCGCTCGATCGAGCGGGAGATGTGACGAGGCAGGAGACGCTAAAGGAAAGGCCGCCCGGGTCGTATGAAGGTACTCGCCACTTTGGAAGCTTGGGTCGGTCCCCCATGCTAGCCAATTTACTCGCCTGGCCCGTTTCACGCCTCTGTGCAGGAAAATCCCACACTCACGTCCATAGCAGGAAGTAGGAAAGCCCCGTGCACATTTATTATTTTGAGCGTTCATATTTTTTAAAATCTAGTTATTGACTCAAGTAAAATGTCTCGAACATGTAAAATTTCATTTATTTTGAGTAAATTATTTTCTATGAAATGTGGTAATACATCATCTATAGACCATTCATTTCTGAGGTTTATTTATATGTTTGATAAATATTTAAAATATTTGTAAAAGTTTTTTTTTTTTTTTTTTTTTGTTTTTTTGCATCTACCTAGCTTCATTGATGGAGATGAAGTGAACTGTAGTGATTTTGATTGAATGCTTAATGATGGAAATATACAACAACAACATAGCCTTAATCCCACTACGTGGGGTCGGCTACATGAATCCTTTTTCTCCAGTACATCTTATTTAGTGTCATAATTTCATTTAGATCTAATAAATTAAGATCGTTTTTTATACAATAAGCTCAAGTCTTCCTAGATCTACCTCTGTCTTTCTTAACATAAGTTGAATCTAAAACATCTACTCTCCTAATTGGATCATCAGATGGTCGACGTTTAATGTGACCAAACCATCTAAGAC